GTTTGCTAGGTCATTTTCCCCGCTATCCAAAAATTGCCTGGAGAAGTCTGAGTGGGTAACATGTGGACCGCCAAACTGTTGTGGACTGAAGTTCTGATCAGCCAAAGGTCAGCCAACTGTGATGGTTGTTGCGAATTGCAGTCCAACAACAGCTGCAGGGTCACATATTATGCCATCCTAATAACAACAACAACAACAACAACAACAATTTAAATTTAAATTAGATTAGGCATCCTTCAGTCTTGAGAAACTATGGTAAAGTGCTCTGTATGGAGGACTTGGAAAAGCATCTAGTGTGGCTGAGAAGGCCAATTTGAGAGTGACAATCTCTTCCACACTGAAGACAAATACTGTACAGTCTGTTCCCTGTCCAGCTCCCCGATTTTGCTGGTTTCGGGACTGCCTCTTTGCCTCGGCCTGCAGGACAAGGGTCTCTCAAATTGGAAGAGGCTGTGATGCACCACCTGCCTTCAGGCTGAACAGTCAGATGTCAAGGTTTCCCATCTGTTGCGGTCCATTCCTAAGGCCTTCAGATCCCGATTGCAGATATCCTTGTATCGCAGCTGTGGTCTCCCTCTGGGGCAACTTCCCTGCACTAATTCTTCATAAGGAGATCTTTTGGAATCTGACCATCAGCCATTCTCACAGCAAATAATGCCAACACACACGTCGCTGTTTCAGTAATGTATATATGCTAAAACTTCCAGCTCGTTCTAGGACTACTAGTATAACAACAACAATAACAATAGCCATCAGGTCAGTCCTGACTTATGGCAACCCTTTCCAAGTTTTCCAGGTAGAGAATACACAGAAGTGGTTTACCGGTGACAAGGCAATTCTGGGAGTTCAGTGCAACATATATGGTGAGCACCAGCTTGAAGAAAGCTGCTGTACTGAGACCAGTCTTAAATCTCATGTAACTGCACCAAATCCATCATTTCTTCCCGTTTTCTGCTTTGCATTATTTTCTGTTGACTACATGACTTTAAATCAATGTGAACGAGCCTGTAGTCACCCACCATCCATACTTTTTTCCTTCACTGCAGGGGCTTCTACAAATCAATGTGAACGAGCCTGTAGTCACCCAACATCCATACTTTTTTTCCTTCACCACAGGGGCTTCTACATTTTTAGTATCAAATGCATTCACATCAGTTCAGGCGGTGTGATAATTTCAGCTGATATGGAGGGGGTTTTAGTTTCAAAGCCATTACATCCAGCTGCATGGTAACAGACTGCTGTCTAAATTCTCTCCACATCTGGTGCATGGGTCTTCTTTCTTTCTCTCTCTCTCTCTCTCTCTCTTTCTTTCTTTCTTTCCTTCTTTCTTTTTCTTTCTTTCTTAGCATGGGTTCCCAACCTCAAGGGGGGGCACAAAGTGTTTTCTGAGGAGTCACCAGGGTTCTTGGAGGAGGGGGACATGTTGCTATCAGTTTTACACCATGCCATGCCACCCTGTCTTTGCTTCCTGCTATGGGATTCTCTGTTAGCAGTGGTAATGGCTCCTCTTCCTCCTCAGCTCTGGTGGTGACTGGTTTTGGGGACTAGAATGGGGAGGAGCAGGAGGCAGGACCCAGCCACAGTGCCAGCAATTCAGGGAGTTTTAGAGAGGTGAGCAGGCAGTGGCAGGTTGGAAGAGGACGGGGACAAATGGTAGTAGTGGAGGAGGAAAAAGCTGCTGCCGCAGCTGAAGTGCTTTTGTCCCCTCCTTGCCTCAGCCATGCATTGCTGCCATCATCTAAGAGAGGGTGGCTGAGGAAGCTGCAGTGGTGGAGGAAGGACAAAAAAGGTGATGATGATTCACTTCTTGAAAAATTGCCCTCTCCAAGTAACATCCAATTTTAACCCACCCTCCTTACCTCCACCTTCTGGAGCCCTTTAAGGGGCTGTCCGGCAGAGAAAGCAGCTTTAACAAAAGCTTGGATACAAATTTTGAACCCGATTGCCCAGATGCCAGTACAACCATCCCATTAAATATTAGGTTAGAATAATGTTCCAAAAACCCTGTTTTTAATGTTTTCTTTATCCCATTGAAACGACTTTTTGTGTAAATGTAGTGAGGGGTTGCAGGTTACTTGGCTATTATAAAAGGGGGGGGGTCACCAACTGAAAAAAAATTGGTAAATTCTGTTTTAAAGGCTTGCTAATCTAGTGCTAGAGCAGGGGGCTGACCAAAGGGGGTGGGGGTGGGGGAGGGAGCAAGGACTCTGCAAAGACAGAGAAGGAAGAGGTAAGGCAGCTTTGCTCCAACCATGCCTCCTGGAAAACTGGAGGGCCAGAGCAGAGCCACCGTAAACACCTTAAACGCCTTAAAATTCTCCTTTCCTTCTGCCAATTCCTTGCTCTTCCACCCCACCTCTCCTGCCACCTATCTGTCTTAGTGCTAGGATGGCATGCCTTTAAAGTAAAAAAGAAAGGAACTGAACAGAAAGGGTAGGGAAAGGAAGGAGGACGCAAGTAGACCTGGCACCAGATGTGGAAAGAAGAGGGCTCAAACAGTTTACAAGCAGGAAAAAGGCATATTTTAAATATTTAATTCTCTGATGATAAGGATAACTCTCATGTATGATCCCTCAAAGCACAATCAGCTGCCTAACTGTATTATTATAAAGCAAAATACCTAGAAAACAAAAGAGGGACCAGCTTTCAATGCGTGATCAACATCAGACCATTTTTCCTTTCTGTCACCACCACTTACCAACATAGTCAGAGCAGTAAAAAAGACTGCTGTCCTCTGAAGATGGTGGCCACAGAGACCGGCGAAACGTTAGGAAGAACAACCTTCAGAACATGGCCAAAGAGCCTGAAAAAACCCACAAGAACCAGTAAAATAGTACTTTTACTGATATCAGCTTTTGGGAGAGAAAGAGAAAGCACCAGTGTATTAAGTAAACCCCTCTCAGCATAAAGACTGTAAAAACAGGACTTAGTTTTTCCCACCACTCTCCATTCTTTCGGGATGTTTCACTGACTGGAGTTCCAATTTGGCCAGCTTTGCAGAAGAGAACCATTCACATAATATTAAATACTGAGTGGCTGGCAATCCTCTGTCTGGCAAAGTTTGGGACAATCCAGTCAATCCTGCCAGAGGTGGAATATAAAACCATCATTCCTTGACTTTACTTTGCAAACTTTATTTTGAAACTGTAGCATAGCCATGATTTTAAGAACTCTTTAATATTTTTCTGTACCATTCAGGCAAGGGGTGCCCTGCTTGATGAAGACTCGTTTGCTGGCATCTGTTATTTTTTGTGTGTGGCCTAAACAGAGGTATTGCCTATTCCTGCCTTTGAAGTGTACAAAGCCCATAGTCCTTTTGTTATATATTTTGAACAGCCTCCCAGGGCACCATCTGCAGCCACTTCATGTCAGTCAAACAAGACTGCAAACTGAGGACATCTTAGGGTTATTGTTGCTAGTTTTAATGTCTCTATTTTTGTTTTCTCTTATATGTGCTGTAATCTGCCCAGAGTAGTGCTGTGATACTCATAGGAGTGGGATACAAATGGAATAAATGAATGAACAAACAAATAAATAAACATCTTCCTTCAACCAATACAAAATGCTATTATTTAATTTGGCTGTAATTGGCTTATGCTGGGGAAGTGTGAAGGCAAGAGGAGGAGAGGACGACAGAGGGCGAGATGGTTGGACAGTGTCATCGAAGCGACCAACATGAATTTGACCAAACTCTGGGAGGCAGTGGAAGACAGGAGGGCCTGGCGTGGTTTGGTTCATGGGGTCACGAAGAGTCAGACACGATTTAATGACTAAGCAACAACAAAAGTTGATAAACTAAGTTTAATTTTTTCTTGACTTCTCTAAGAGGTTTACTCCAGTTCTGATTCACAATATTTAAGTATGTTTCTTAGTTGCAGCATGCCTTTCCTCCAAGCCTGAGACTCTTGTTTTCCTTCTTTATTTATTCAGTTATTCATACAAGCACCAGTAAGTTTCATGACTCAGCAGGGAATGGAAACTGGATCACCCTAGTCCATGCAAATCCAGGGAAGGGTTGCTCCCCTCCCCAGCACCCCTTACAAGTATGTTGCCTTGGAAATTGTCACAGAGCAAGTTTTAGACCCATCTGAAAAGGAGCTGGCTGTATCTAGTTGTGTAGGCAGCAATGGGGAGTTTGATGACTGGGTCTCCTGGGAGAAGAGCCAGCCTGTGTGGCCTTGGGCAAACTCCACTGTTCCAAGGGTGCACCCAAAACCACTTTAGTGGCTGAGTATTTTCTGCCTGGAAAACTGAGTATTCTTGACTGGGTCTCCTGGGAGAAGAGCCAGCCTGTGTGGCCTTGGGCAAGTTCCACTGTCCAAGGGTGCACCCAAAACCACTTGAGTGGTTGTCACAGAGTATTCTGGAAAACTGAGTATTCTCTACCTGGAAAACCACTTGAGTGGTTGAGTATTCTCTACCTGGTTGAGTATTCTCTACCTGAAAAAGCCTAACAAAGGTCACCATAAGTCAGAATGAACTTGAAGGCACATTATTCTTATTGTTACCCAAAGGGAACTTCCAACTAATCTCAGACACTTATGCTTATGGAAGCAGTCTTAATCAATAAAAAAAATCTATTAAAATATAGCAATTAGTCTTTAAGGCGCCCCAACGTTTTTGCCTTATTTATTTTCTGGTCTTCGTTTGTTTCTTCTCTGATAACCTAAATAAGACTTGCTCCCTGGGAAACCAGAGAGGCGTAACCTTAGCTTCCAAAGAACTACCACGCTATCGTTCCCCTTTCACTGGCGTTACAAAACTGATCATGAGCGCTTCCCTTCCTCGCTGGAGAAAGCAAGCCACGCCTCCACCTGCCGCCTCTTTCTTTTCTCCGCCCTCCCGTCCAATGAGGTTTGAAAAGAACCCAGCTCGTCGTTCAGAAGCCACGCGTCCTCCGCCAGCTTGTTCTCTATTGGTTCAACTGAAGAACGCGAGGAGAAGATTGACGTTTCAGGGTTGCCCAATGGGCGTGCCGGTATCTCTCCGCTAACCGACCGCGTGAGGGAGATGGTGGGGGATTTGAATCTTGAGTAGCCCCTGGACCAAAGCGGAAAGGAGACTGGAGCGGGAAAAGACGGTAGGATGATGGATAGATAGGAATGAAGAAATCCTGCTTGCATTATGCATCTGTATAGGCGGTGTTTGTTTAGGTTGGATGTTTGTACTTATAGATAGATCCTGTGCAATCGATAATTCAATTTTTTCCCTTTTTAAAAATGTGCAAATAGGTCCTGCCGAGTTCAGTGGGTTTTACTAGTGCTGCTGGAGTTGGTTTAGTCGGTTTTGTGATAGCAAAAGGAAGGTGAGAGTGCATTGCACTTTTCAGAGTAATCAGGCGCAACCCTGTGTATGTGTACACTCAAAGAATCTTCAAAGAGTTTAGTGGGGCTTACTCATAAGTAAACGTATGTAGGATGGATTGCGCTGCACATCCTACGTGTGTAGGATGGATTGCGGCTTAGGCTTTCATGGATTTACATAAGGTTTTGTTGTGTGGATGAGGTGGTATCCTTGGATGTTGAATAAATCCAGGCATAATCCACGAAAACTGTAGCGTAAACACTGTAGCCCATTGCGTACAAGGGACAAAACTTGAAATACTTGCGCAAAATTCAGTTGTGCACAAAAGAGCCATTCACTGTGTTTATGTGCATGTGTTGGCTACATCCAGCTTGAACTCCAATAAGCTGGAGGGTCATGGTTTTCTTCCTCCCAGTTTTATTACCACAGCAACCCTCTTGAGTAAACGAGGCTGAAAGATTAACTAAATTTAAAGTCACCTAGCAAACTTCATGACCCAATACGGATTAGAGCCTGGACTACCCAAATCCAAATAAAATGCCATAACCACTGCAGTGTACTGCCTCTCATGCAAAAACATACTCTTCTGTTTCCCACTGAGACCTCAGATGTGATTCTTTGATGCAGGTAGATGTGAAATATAAAATATAATTTTTAAAAGTAGTAGTGTTAGTCTGTCACAGCATGATAGGGAAAAAAAGGGAAATATTGTAGCATTTTGGACTTTACAGTGCTGCAGTGTTTTATACTGTACAATATAATGATTGTTTTAAAATGGAAATGTGTATTAGAAATATTGTTATTGTAATTATTCGTGCCTACTGTCTGGACATAAAGCAGGTGGGTTCGTCTGTTTTCTGAATGTGTGCAGCAGAGGTTTTTCACAAGATCTAAATAATATTCAACTTTTGGATGGTGAAGGAAACATTTATTTCTGATGTTGGTTATAGTATACATCTGCCACATTTATTAAATTGTGGTTGTAAGTGTTGGCCTCTTCAGTTATACGACTGTGGGTTTATTTATTGTCCAGAATGGATTTAATGCATTTTCATCTGTGTGTATTGTGGATTACAAACCACAGGTATGATAGTTTCCTGTTTGCTAACTTGTGGTACCAAAAATATAGAACAATCCCATAGGGATGCTTTCCAAATGTGTTGGACCAGAACTCCCATCATTCCCTGTGAGCATGGCCCTGCTGTGCTCCGACATATATGGAAGGTGTCAGCTTGGGGAAGTGTGATGTAAAGTAAGCTGGCAAGTTGTATGGAAGCTCCAGAGTAGGGCTGGAGAACATGGGGTCCTCCAGAGATGGTTGCAGCTCCCATTGTGCCTTACCATTCAACAAGCTATGATAGAGTTGGATCCGAGCAACTTCAGGAGGTCTCTAAGGTGAGCTAAGCCAGGAGTTCTGGCAAAATATTCATAATGCGCAAACACAAGTGTACATTTGATGATTTGAACCAATGTTGACTGTAGACTCCATAAACAAAGACACCTTAGCTGTTTTTAGGCCTAGTGGTATAATTTATCCAATCTGAGGGCAACAGGGGTTCAGAGACACTAGTTTGTGCCAAAATATATTGACTGTAATAAACTTAACAACAGTCAAATCAACATGAGTGTAAATGTTAGGAATATTGCATGGAAGATACCGTAAGTGTAAAAAGCTGGCTAATGAAGCTGGAGAATAAGGAGTGAGAAATAAATTCACACATCACTATCACTCTTCAGGTAAGACACTGGATAGAATTATAGTACAGTATTTTAGTTATGCATCAGACTGTGTGTAAATCCAGAAGTAACTTTTCAATGCAAAGAATTATACTTTAAGACACAATAAAGGGACGATGGGACAGTCTTGTTGCAGGACAAGGATGAGGGAAATCCTGCCCTCCAGAAGTTGCTGAGTTGTATTTTCCTTTACCATTGAATAATGCTGGCTAGGTCTAATGAGGATTGTAATCCAACTCAGATGGAAGGCCACATGTTACCCATCACTGGTGTATGCAACCTTTTCTTTGATTGCAGCGACTTAGTAACAAGGCCTTATAATGTCTTTGAGTGCCACACTGATGCATTTATTTCATGTCTTCATGTGATTCCCCAAGCAGTTACTGTTTTGATAAGCTAATGCAAACCAGGAGCCATCAAAACAGGAAAATCAGTTTTCTGTTAGTGCAGAAATGTAAACAACCAGCACAAAGAGTTTGTTTAAAAGAGAAAGAAAACCCTGATTTTAAAAAATGAGGGGAACTGTAAGATATATTTTCTGGTATGCTGAACTGTTGTGTTTTTGTTTGTTTTTTCCTCTAGATGCACATTTAAGTGAGCATGGGCCAAACTACTATGGGTAACTACCAGAGCAAAGCATGTTAAAATTGTTCCACTGAGCACATATCCCTAGGATGCTCCACTGTTACTGGTTATCATCTTACCTCCCCTTTGCAAATGGCTGTACAGTGGTGCCTCACATAGCGATGTTAATCCGTGCAGCAATAATTGCTGGTTTTCCTCTAGATGCACATTTAAGTGAGCATGGGCCAAACTACTATGGGTAAATACCAGGCCAAAGCATGTTAAAATTGTTCCACTGAGCACATATCCCTAGGATGCTACTCTGTTACTGGTTATCATCTTACCTCCCCTTTGCAAATGGCTATACAGTGGTGCCTTGCATTGCGACGTTAATCCATGCAGCAATAATTGCTGGTAAGCGATTTTATCGCTATGCAATTTTTAAAAGCCCATAGAAGTGCATTAAAACCTGTTCAATGAGTTCCTATGGGCAAAAAACTGACCTTTAAGCGAAGATCCTCCATACGGTGGCCATTTTCGCTGCCTCTAAAGCGAGGAATTTGCACAAAAACACAGCGGGCAGCCATTTTTTTTAACCCGTTAAGCGAGGCACCACTGTATAAAACTCAGTATGACTATGCATATGTGATTTAGGGGTAAGTCCCACTAAGATTGATGGGATGTATTTCCAATTATGTGTGTGCAAGACTGCATCCTAAAACACAGAATACTTCCATCTATTTTGATGAAATAAGAGGAAGTTTACTTATTGAAAGAGCATCAGCATCTTAACTGTTCTCTCTTTTTCTTTCTTTGTGAGGTCTCTTAATGTATTAAAGGAGTGAAAGCAGATGAAATGAGCTGGGTTGTGGAAGAATGGAAAGAAGGCCTTTCCACAAAGGTCCTTCACAAGATTCAAGAACTTGAGAGTCAACTTGAGAAGCTTAGAAAGGAGAGACAGCAAAGGCAGTTTCAGCTGGAATCTCTGGAGGCAGCTTTGCAGAAACAGAAACAGAAGGTATGATGTACAATATGTACGTGTATGACACCAGTGTAGAAAATAGTGGCCAGAATCCTAGTGGTGCCTCACTTGACGACGTTAATTCGTTCCAGCGAAATCACTGTAGAGCGAAAACGTCAAACGAAACTAAAAAAACTATTGAAACGAATTGAAACCCCCTCAATGTGTTCCAATGGGCTGAAAACTCACCATCCAGCGAAGATCCTCCATAGGGGCAGCCATTTTCAGGTGCCTATAAAGCAAAAAATGGCTCCTAAACACAGCGGGGAGCCATTTTGTATACCCGGCAGCCATTTTGGAAACCTGGCAATCAGCTGTTTTGATCGTCGTAAAGTGAAAATCGCTTCCCGAAGCAGGGGACCGATCATCGCAAAGCGGGAAAACCCCATTCAAACCATCGTTTTGCGATCGCAAAAACCTCACAGTCAAGCGGATTTGTCGTTAAACGGGGCAATCGTAAAGCGGGGCAGGACTGTACTTATGCACAGCATAAGCCAAAGGCTTTAAATCACTATAGTGAATTCCCTCTAGTTAAGAAATCAAAGCTTGTATTTCCCATCACTTGGAAGTCCCATGATTGGTGTGAGATGAAAAATTCAATCTTTGACTTCTTAATCAGCAGCAATTAGCTGCAGCTTTTTGTACTACTTGACAAGTGCCAGACTGCTCAGGTAATAGGATTCTGGCCAATGGAACACTGAATTCTTTTAAAGGACATGGTGTTTATTGTTTATTTCCTTTGATTAAAAAAATAGACATACTGAAAATATCTGAACTTCTCCATCAACAATTTGTTTATCATTAAGATCCATTGGCTAGTTTTATAAGCTGAAGAAGGATGAGTTGAGCGGTCAAAACAACACAACTATTCTGCCTTATTAACAATTTCAAAAAAAAAGGAAAGAGTGTTCCTCTTTTTGTGCTCTTAATTCCTTGTTTTATAAGCTGAAGAAGGATGAGTTGAGTGGCCAAAACAACACAACTATTCTGCATTATTAACAATTTCAAAAAAAAGGAAAGAGTGTTTCTTAATTTCTACACTGAAACTTAACATCGCATTGAAATATAATTTCTAATCTTGGTTTCTCTGCATGGAGAGAAAGGATGCAGTTTAGACTTCATTTACCTGAAGGCATTTATTGTAATGTTGGACACAATCTATTTAAAGAATCTTCCTCTACCTCCTTGAAGGAATTTGAGTCTTGTGGTAGAATTTTTGTGCACAAAATTCCTCTTTTTGTGCTCTTAATTCCTCTTTTCCTTCTGGTAGCTTTTCATTTCCTTCTGGCAGGATAAAATTATGGAGACCTTAGAAGAAAGGAAGGTAGTTGCTTTGGTGGAGAGATTCTAAGAATCTGGACAAACAAATGGCAGGAGAAGAAAGGTTTGCCTCTCCCTCTTTGCTTTTCTGCTCTCAAGAATAAATTTCAGTATTTGAAGAAAAAAGCAGGGGAAAGGGAAACTCAACTCAATGAGTCAAGTCTTCTTTGGCCCTAGAGGCTGCAGGCTGCTTGTTAATTGTCTTGAGAGTATTCATTGAGGCACAGGAGTGATGCAGAATTTTGTGAAGTGTGTTCAGCTAAGCAAATAATTCAGAGTAAGAGCTGGAGCCTACATGTTTACAAACATGTCAATTCAGGTTCCATGTCAACTGAAGAATTGACATGGTACCTAAACCTGTGTTCTTTTCTGAGTTAAAATGGCTGCTATTTTAGGTAATGACTTGCACAGTCACCGTTGTTTATGCTGGCTAGGAAAGAGATTCTGGGACTTTTATTTCAAAAAGGTTACTTTTCTGAACTTTGGTCCTTTCACATGGATGATTGATTTACATGCCGAGGCCCTTTATTGGTTATAATAAGAGGGAATGCACAATATATCATGTTTTGTACAACTGTTTTGCACTAGATCTCTGAAGCATAGAGTTTAAATCCTTCATTAAAAGAAGAATGTTGAGTCTTAATAACTGCCATTTTGGTATTAATCTGCAAATAATTTTTATCGGTATTAATGATTTAATGTGTTTGTTATGCTTTTAAACGCCTATGAAGGACATCAGAATATAAAGTTCTAAAGAAAACATCGATTCTTCTCCAGAACTGAATAACACACTTTTCCTAAAATAGACCTTAAAATCAAGTTGATTGTGTTTGTTTATTATGGACTCTTCTGATAAGGTTGATCAAGAAAAAAATGAAGGTGCAACGCTAAAGAGAGAAAACCAGAACTTGATAGAACTGTGTGATACTTTAGAAAACACCAGGCAGAAGCTTTCACATGAACTGCAGGTGAAAGAATCACAAGTGAACTTTCAAGAGGGACAACTTATTTCAAGCAAGAAACAAATTGAAAAGCTAGAACAAGAACTGAAAAGGTGAGTACAGGCACAATGTGTATGTTGGTTCAAAATCACTCTTTTTAAATCATTTGTTTAGTCACAGTTTGAGAAGGTGTGCTTTGGATTCAAACTCATTACTCCGAAAATCGCCAGCCTGGCTGGCCTTTATACTTTCAAAATGATCAGGAGATTGGAAACAGCTCCTCTCTCAGGGGACGTTACAATGCTTGGGGATTTTTGGATTTTAAAAAAGGGAGGGAGGGTAGATACAGTGGAGGTACACAAAACTGGCGCTCATAAGTGTTGACTTAGCAAGTCTCATTCATTGAATGAGTCTCTTCTAGTTTGGATTAGTAACTAGATTTAGTCCTAAAGAAGCAATGACTCACTTATCTGGAAATTAAATTTCCTTACTTGAAAAGCTATTGGATTTGCTGCCTATTTTAGTCCTAAAGAAGCCATGATTCACTTATCCGAAAATCAAATTTCCTTACCTGAAAATCTATTAGATTTACTGCCTTTGTGATCAACTTCCAGTGGAATAGGAAGACCTTACATCGAACATGGATAGAATTGCTCTTAGTTGAACATAGTTCCCACAAAATTCAGTGAGTCCTACGCCATTCACTAAGTTAGCCCAATGATTTAGTCGTTAAACGTTGCCGGCGTACAAGATGACTTTTTGGCCCTGAAAAACATGCCTCCAAGTGGGGGGGTTGTCTTGTACGCCGGGTGCATGTCTAGCAAACCCTCCCTCTCTCCCAGCGAAGTCACTTACCTGGTAGTAAGACCCAGTAGAGCCCCGCTCCTAGCCTGGGAACAGCCTGATTCTAGCACTGAACAGCTGACTGTCGGAACAGCAGAGAGGCGGCAGCCATTTTGAGATGCAACCACATGGCTGCTGCCTCTCCAAAATGGCTGCCGCCTCCGAAAAAGACCCAAAGGGGCAAAAGGAACGCTCCCCATGATGCAGCCAAAGCAGAATCACGCATGCGGAAGAGGGGGTAGTCTTATACAGCAAGTATAACAAACTCTAAATTCTGAGTGGGATAGTTGGGGGGCCGTCTTATACTCCCAGTCGCCTTATACACCGGCAAATACGGTAATTTAGTAAGGAACCAACCCTATATATATTGTTTTGCTATTAAGCTAAATTTCTATGCTTATTTTTTAAAAAGATATAAATCTGAAATAGAAAAAAGTGAGAAGTCCCTTGTTGCTGGAGATGTGTCTTTCAGTACGCCACAGAAGAATTTCATTGGCTGTTCAACACCAAGTTATAATGGTATGCCTTGTTTTTCCTCTAGTAACTATATGGACATGCCGCTTCATATTTTGTTGTCCACCTTTGTTACATAGAATTAAAATTTGCTTACTTCTGTTCCCATAGCCAGCTGTTTCCCTGTCTTGGTTTATTATTGAATCATGTTTTAATTCTTAGAGCAAAATTCCCAGATGCTCTGTATTTTTAATGAAAGCCCTTTCCGTCAGAATAACAAAGTGTTATAGTATTTTATGCTGGGGGAGAAATGATTTTACTTCAGTGGGTGTTTTTTTCTCCCATTCACAAGTATGCATGCACACACAGGGAGATTTATGTGTGGGATGTATGTGTGTGTCTAAAATTATAAATGATAAATAATAAGATGAGCAAAATAAAATGAATTTTGAAAAGTTTCTGTTCAACTTTAACAGATTCAAGGTTTGAAGAACTGAAAGTAAAATACAGTAAAGAAGCTGAAGAAAGGAAAAGACTGGAAGCAGAACTGAAGAGCCTGAAATCCCAAGTAATAAGTTAAAACATTTACAGAATAAATACAAAATATTATTCAGAATAAGAAAAGTGTAGTTCCATAAAAGGTAGCTTAAGAGTTGCTTAATGATCTGGTGAATTTTAGGAAACAGCTGTTTCTTAGGTAGTTTTATTTAATTTTTTTTCAAATTTTATCTGTCTTTCACTTGATGACAAGTAAAAGGATAAAGATTTGATCCCACCACCTAAAAAACTAATCAAGAGAGTGTTCTCTGTCCTGCTTGGTGCTGGTGAATTCTTTTCTATCTGAAGCATCTTCTGTATTGAGGTCAGCCCAGTTTAGTAAAGCGTTTCTCTTTGTGTTTTGAAAGAAAACCGGCAGTGTGCATACTGAAAGTACCATAAGTCGCAGAGAAATTGCCCGGCAACAGGCTTCCTCATCTGTCTTCTCTTGGCAACAAGAGAAAACACCAAGCCACCGCTCATCCGACAGCCAAGAAACCACTGTAAGCCGTAGCTTGGCGGTGTCTCATCTTCCTCAGGAATCTGGGGCAACTCTGGGCCAAAAAGACGAAAAATTGGCAAAGAAAGACTCCACCAGCTGTAGCATCTTGGACAGTTGCAAGGACTCATCGCTCACTGACCAGATGAAAACACAGAACCAAGGTATATTTCAAATGTTGTAAGCAACTTAGACTTGTTGCCTCACAGTTTTGCCTAGTAGTTGAGTTTCAGAGGCCCACAGTTCTGTTGTGCCCTTAAAATAGCGACGGTCAGCTGCATACCTGTACTTGTTTCAGAGCACAAGTACTTTTACATGCTACAAGATTGGGACATTGGGGTGGGGGGGAAGGCTTCCATCCTACTGCTGTGATGAATGTCTTTTTTCTTGCAGCGCACACTTCCCATCTGACGATGGGCAGAAGGTTGAAAGAATTCTTCCCAGAGGGTTTCCACACCTCCCAGAGGAATACTATGGGGTGGTTCTGCCTCTTGATGGAAGCAGTTCCATCAGTTCCATTCCTCTGTTGAATCTGGTCAATATGACATATTTGCTGTATTACAGAGCGAGAGAACAGAAAAATCGTAATTGGAAATTTTCACGGCAAAGGTGTTCAGCTCTGCCAAATATTAATGAATTAAGTAATTCATGCATATTCTTAGGCGGAGATGGTATCTTCCTAGCTAAAATATAACCTGACTCTCAGTGGTTGAAATCCAGTAATAAACCACAATAGCTAACGTGCACTGGATTATGAAGAAAGGCAGAGAGTTTCAGAAAAACATCTACTTCTGCTTCATTGACTACGCAGAAGCCTTTGACAGTGGACCAGAGCAAACTATGGCTAGTTCTTAAAGAAATGGGAGTGCCTCACCACTTTATCTATCTCCAGAGAAATCTACACGTGGGACAGGAAGCAACAGTTAGAACTGGATATGGAAAAACTGATTGGTTCATAATTGGGAAAGGAGTATGACAAGGCTGTACTGTATATTCTCTCCCTTCTTATATGCATAATACATTACGGTTCATAATTGGGAAAGGAGTATGACAAGGCTGTATATTGTCTCCCTGCTTATATGCATAATACATTACACTAAAGGCTAGATTGGAGGAATCCCAAACCGGAATTAAGATTGCCAGAAGAAATTTCAATAACCTCGTATATGCAGACGATACCACTTTGATGGCAGAAAGTGAGGACGAATTAAAGAACCTCTTAATGAGGGTGAAAGAGGATAGTGCAAAAAATGGTCTGAAGCTCAACATCAAAAAAAGATCATGGCCACTGGTCCCATCACCTCCTGGCAAATAGAAGGGGAAGATATGGAGGCAGTGACAGATTTTACCTTCTTGGGCTCCATGATCACTGCAGATGGGGACAGCAGCCACGAAATTAAAAGACACCTGCATCTTGGGAGGAAAGCGATGACAAACCTCGACAGCATCTGAAAAAGCAGAGACATCACCTTGCCAACAAAAGTCTGCATAGTCAAAGCTATGGTTTTTCAATTAGCGATGTATGAAAGTGAGAGCAGCACCATAATGACGGCTAACCGCCGAAGAATTGATGCCTTTGAATTGTGCTGGATGAGTCTCTTGAGAATCCCCAGGACTGCATGGAGATCAAACCTATCCGTTCTGAAGGAAATCAACCCTGAATGCTCACTGGAAGGACAAATCCTGAAGCTGAGGCTCCAATACTTTGGCCATCTCATGAGAAGAGAAGACTCCCTGGAAAAGACCCTGATGGGAAAGTGTGAAGGCAAGAGGAGAAGGGGACAACAGAGGATAAGATGGTTGGACAGTGTCATCGAAGCTACCAACATGAATTTGACCAAACTCCGGGAGGCAGTGGAAGACAGGAGGGCCTGACGTGCTCTGGTCCATGGGGTCATGAAGAGTTGGACACGACTAAACAACAACAACAAATCTTAAGTGTTAGTCCAGAAATGGCAAATAAGGGCTGTCAGATTGTGGTTCTTATATGGCTTTCCATTATACCTCCATTTTCAGACATGACTTAATGACTAAACAACCAAAATAAGTCACAACTAGAGCAGGCCATTGAAATAAATTGAACTTTAAGGGGAGTCGATTCTTCAGATCTCTGCTGATTAAATGGGCCTACATTAGTTGCAACTTAGTACAGTACTGGATTCTAGCCGGTAAGTCTTAGAAATATATGAAGTAGCAGTACATAATCTTTCTTTCTTTCTTTCTTTTTGCGACATAGAATTAAGATCCAGAATTACAGAACTGGAGCATAAGTTGCAAATTCAAGCAGAAGAAACTAAATGCAACCTTACTAAGCTGCAGGAAACCCAGCTGCAACTGGAAAATCTGAAAATAGAATTAGCAGGAAAAGATAAAGATCTAAATAAGACCAAAAATGAAGTGAACAGAATTACAGCACAACTTGACCAGGCTATCGCACAGGTAAAATCTCAGATTTCACATGGATGCTTTTAGAATTCTAAATTCTGTTCTACACATACACGTGGAGCACTAATTACCGTAATATTTTTTTAATAATCAAAAGTAACACAGGCCCTGGTCCTAGAACGGTATCTTGGTTACAGAGCTGTACAGGATGCTGGGAGTTCAGTGTACTCCCTCTAGGGAGAAAATAGGCATACTTTCCCTTTCACTTCCATTTGTGAGTTAAAATTAGAGCCTGGGAAAAAGGAAAAGTCCATCTTTTATATTTACAGACCTTAATGTAATTTTGTCTGATGTGACATGATGTCATGTCTTCTTTCGAGAGCATGACTGAAGATATGCTGGTTGGCAAGACCCTTCTATTTTGAATGATACACAAATATCTCCGTCTTTATTTACTTGAGTCCCCTTACAATAACGTGTGTGGTGTGTATCTTCATTTACATTCCATGTTTGTTCTTAGATTTATTTCTCAACCTGTAAGTATTTTTCTACATAAGCGTGACACTGTTAGCTACACATTTTGGTTCCGCGTGTCTTAATTCTACTCCGCAAAGGGTGAACTGTTGGTAGCTGTGATCCCGTTGGGTCTACCGTAGCGTTGAGTCCACTTACAAATCAGGTCCTAGAGATTTCCAATCCATGCCCCATTTCATTACTTTTTGTCTAGTGCGCTGCAAAAGAGGACAAGGTGAAAAGGCTGTCCGATGAGCTGAACTGTCAGAGGCAAAATTCCGAAAGTGTCCAGCGTGCTTTGCAACAGAAGGTGAAAGAAAAGGAAAAGGAGTTCCAACAGGTAAAGGCAAAGAGTGAAAGGACTCGTAACATCCTGCTGCTTTTGTAACTTATCTGCAGAGCGCTGTGAATGTTGTCTTCCAATTAACCTTGATCTGTTCTAGAGATGAGTACGAACCAGAAAACCATGAACCACCTGAAAAACGAACTGGTCTGTGGCTTGGTTTTTGTGTTCGTGCCTTGGGTGACCGCCTGCCCACCCAGCCACCACCCCGTCGCCTCCCTGTCTGGTCCTGCCACCATCGTCGGAGATAGCAGATCGGCTTCTCTTCCAGGGAAGGGCTCGCGGCCTATGTGCATGCGTAGAGGCAGCAGCTGGCTCCAGGAAGGGAAGCCAGCTGATTGCCTCTATGCATGGGCTTATCAGCTGCCTATCAGCTGGGTGGTAGGTGCAGAAGCATGCATGCGCACATCTGCTTAGGGCAAAAAAGTTCAGCCCTTCATTTTGCTTCAACAAAACAGGATCCTCAAACTGGCTTATGAACCGAATAAAGAACCAGTCCGATTCGTTGGTTTTTCTGGTTCATGGTGCCTATCTTTAATTCATATCTGCATACTGGACTTGTCTTGCGTTACAATGCCATAAAAATCTAGGATACCAACTGCTGAGTTCTCTGGGTCTTGTTGTTATGTACCTTCAAGCCAGAATCAAATTATAGTGACTCTTAACAAGGCTTTCAAGGTCCACGCAATATTTAAAGAGTGGTTTTACCAGTTCCTCACTCCCAGCGAACTTCCATGGCTGGGCAGAGATTTGAATCCAGGCCTCAAGAAACAATATATAATCCAGTGTTTCTTTTTTTTTAATCTGTAGCATCCAAATTGTAAATGCTCTCAGTGTAGTTTACAACTGTAACTTCAAAGCCATCAGTAAGGTAATTATAAAAGCATGAAGACAGTTCGCTGCAGTATTAAAATGTTTAAATACAGTGGTGCCTCACTTCACGATTGCCCCGCATTACGACGAAATTGCATTACGACAATCTTTTTGCGATTGCAAAACGATGGTCTGAATAGGTTTTTTTCACTTTGCAATGATCAGTTCCCTGCTTCGGGAACCAATTCTTCACAAAATGACGCTGAGCGGCGATTTCAAAATGGCCGCCGGGTAAATAAAATGGCTTCCCGCTGTTTTCTGGGAAGGATTCCTCCCAAGACAGCCACCGAAAATGGCCGCCCTATGGAGGATCTTCGCTGGATGGTGAGTTTCCAGCCCATTGGAACGCATTAAAGGAGTTTCAATGGGCTTTTTATTTTTGCATTACAATGTTTTCGTTCTACAGCGATTTCGCTGGAATGAATTAACATCGTAGTGCGAGGCACCACTGTATTTCAGTGAGTGAATAAAACAGGTCTTATACTTATCTCCTCAGAAGTCCCATTGAGTTCCAGGAAATGTGTACAGCTGTAATATATAGAGAGTTCTTTTGTCTTCATGATACACAGGTCTGCAGAACACACAGCAAATGGGATGTGTCTCTTTTTAGATAACAACTTTTTCTAGCCTAATCTTTTAACCCATGATTTGTTTTTCTTTTTTTCCATCACTGTTTTAGGAACTCTCTATCCAACTCAGCCAGGCCAAGATTCAGCTGCAAGAGGAACTGCATCAGGCCAAGAAGAGCTACAGTGTTCTTCAAACAGAACTTGAGAAAGTAGGTATTTCTCATGGGAAGCATTCAAACATAGGCGAGAAAGGGAGAGTTGGAAGCATAATGCATTCAGCACTGTTTTGCACTAAAAAAATTTATTGTGCAGTATGCTGACTGTACTGAGAAATTTCCCCCGTACAGTAGGATTGTAATATCTGTGGGGGATCAGTTCCAAACTGCTTTTTAGATGCTGATACCGTGTTTCCCCGAAAATAAGACCTTGTATGATTTTAATTTCCCCCATACAGGAGGATTGTAATATCAGCGGGGGATCAGTTCCCTTCCTAGATGCTGATACTGTACCGTGTTTCCCCGAAAATAAGACCGTGTATGATTTTTTTTCAGGATGCTTGTAATATAAGCCCTACCCCAAAAATAAGCCCCACTTAAGTGAAACCCTGCCCTCCACCATTGTGCAGCAACCAGAAGAAGATGACATAGAATTATAGAAAAGTAAAGCTGGAAGGGGCCTACAAGGCCATCAAGTCCAACCCCCTGCTCAAAGCAGGAATGCAATCAAAGCATATTTGCCAGGTGATTAGGTTTTTCTTGAATGCCTCCAGTATTGGAGCACTCACCAACTCCGGAGGTAACTGGCCCAATTTTTGCCCAGTTCTTTCAATCTTTCCTCATAAGGCTTGATTTCCAGCCCACTGATCATCCTTGTC